ATGAATATGAGGTAATGACTAACGTTTTAAGTAAGGCTTGTTCGAGACTTGGCAGGTTCTCCCGTAAGAATCAGACGTCGATAGTGATCGAGGAGCGATCATTACAAAGTTGATATACACTACCACCTAATGACCATAAAAAAGGCATGGTACAAGAATTGAGTCCACCTCATGCCATGGCAAACCCCATGAAGGACTCCTACCCCTTGTATAGTCAAGCAGATATTCTGGCAAAACTACTTGAGTCGACTTGAATGCCTTATCAATCAGGGGAGGCTTCATTTCAAAACTCAAACCTAGCAAAATAAGTTGTCAATTAAGTTACACACAATAGTTTGATGCCATAAACTAATACACTGAACATACATTTTAATAATTACAACTCATTAAAATATACTTATATAGAAGTAGGAGTCAACAATGCATATTTTTTGCTTGTAAACTTGTGGATGGTGTTAACGCACCCGCGTACACATGACGTTGATTCATTCATCAATGTGTTAGTTGTCCAGCAACTCATCTAGCTTCTCCAATCAGTGGAAAAAATCAAGATCCTCCTATCCTATGATGCCCACAATGTTAACCCTACATATATAAAATACCCACGTCAAAAGGTCGATTGAATCAATAATCTAAAACCGTTGACCCTAATATCTTGTAATGTTATGATTTTACCTGGCTTGCTTGTTTTTCATGAAGCACTCATATCTATCCTTTAAAGCATTATTCGCTTTGTGTTAGACTAATAGCAGGTTAACGTATAGGCTTCGAAGGTATTTGCTAACCATGCTCACACGTGTATCTTTGACCTGAGGTGGAGGTAGAGCCCCAAAAAAAGGTGTGCTCTGACCTTGCTAATGGGCCTCTGATGGAATTGGGACACGAACAGGATGTGGGGAAGTTGTAGCTAGACTACTCACAGGATAAAATGCTTCGATTACATTTAAGGTTTCAGGATAAAGATATTTTCTGTGATATTTCACCATATTCTCAAAGATTTTGTGATCATTCATAAGGGTTAAGATACATTTTTTGTATTCTTTTAAAGCTTGCATGATTTTCTAATGTTAAGGTTCAAGTGTTTAAGGAAAATAATCCAAACACATTTCAACATCTAGTGATGGCCAAAAATGATCTGCTTCTTGTGATGATGAGTTCTTTCTAGGGTGCTAAGAGGAAAAATCATTGTACAACTTCAACAAAATTGGCTATCCATTATTCTATCGACCCTAAGAACTAGTCATGCAATGACCTATGAACTACTTACGCAATGACTTATCAACCAACCACGTAATGACCTATCATTAGACCTGTCAAAATGGGCTTGGCCCATAGGATCGACCCATTTTCTATTAAATATGGGATGGGTTGGGTTAGAAAATTTTGACCCATATTGGAACCGAGCCTAAATGGGGCAGCCCACCAAATCAGTGGGTTGATGTGGGCTAGGGCAGGGCCAGCCTTATGGGCCAGAAAAAAATAATTTTAATTAATTTAATAATGTTATATATTTAATTATGTAAAATTAATAATGTAGTTACCAATAGTATTGTTTATTTTATATATTTCAATGTCTTTAATCTTCACTTGTCAAATTAAAAGTTTTAATTTAGATTAAAACTTATTATCTCTTTTTCTTTTATGGTAATGAATATTAGATGATAAATTGATAATGATTCAGACCTTGAGACATAATTGCTGTCTAAACAAGATTTAAATGTTTTACTTAAGAATGGGGATTGAGGAGGATATAAATGAGTCTTGAAATTTTTATTATTTGGTTATATACTTATGTTTATGAGATAATAGCTTGTGTTAAAAATTTAAACTTTATTATGTAATTTATTTATTTTTTATATTTGGTGTAATTTGTTTATTTGTAACATGTTTTTATTATTCAATTTATGAATTAAATTATAGAACAATTTTATTAATAAAAAATTTATCAAGTAGAATTATAAAAATTAATTTTTTTTGAAAAAAAAAAAGATTGGCCCAACTCAACCCATGGACTAACAAGGGGTGGGCTGGGTTGAGGTTTTAATGACCCATATAAAAAATAAGCTGACCCGACCCAACCCAACCCATATTTTCTCAACCCACAAGGGCTGGGGCCTGGTTGGGCCAGGCCAGCCCATATTGACAGCTCTACCTATCATCATGTCACACAATGCCAAACCCCTAAATGCAATGCCTAACGCAATCACACACACCCTAAGTGACGTTTATGCCTAAATCCCATCATACATAATGTGTCAACCACTCACGTAAGCCCTTAGTCATGCAATACCTAAACCCTAAACCCAATTCCTATCAACCAATCAGCATGCCTTGTCACCTTCTGACCCCATAAACACCAACAATACCAACTTCAAATTTGTATTCAAAAATTTTAAACAACAAAAATATCAATATGAACAACCAATATGCTTATGTTTACGTTCAAAAACCATAAATTAATAACATGAAGAATAACAATAGCCTTAAACATTTCTCCACATGGTTAAAAATAAAAATAAAAAAAATATGTTTACCTTTCTCTGCGTAATGTGAACTTCTTCTACTGCTCAATATGTGAACTACCTTTATGAGAATAACCACTCCAAAATGCTTCTATCACTACCCAAAATGCTCGAAAGTTGAACTAATGAGAAATGCTTTCGAGAGAATGCTTTGTAGGGAGAAATATGGTTTGTCGATGAGAATTGAGGAATTACACTCCTTGTAAACATACTTGACTCATTAATACGGTTTAGGTTGAGGCACAAAGTCAAACATATTTATCGATTTTATTCTTATGCATGGAGCCTATTTGTGAAAAGAACTCTTAAGTTTTACATTTATATTTTAGAAGCAGGTACTTTTGGTTTATCCATATGAATATCCTATTATAAAAAGAAGTTAAAAATATCTTAGCAAGTATATATCTCTTACGCAATAGGCTTTATTCTTTGTTGAAAATTGTCTCATAAAACTATAGAAGCATAAAACCAAGGGCCAACAAAGCCTAATAAAGCCATATAATGAAAACAGTTCTTTTCCACCTTTGTCTTCCTTTTTTTTTTGGTGGGTTTGGGATTAATTTAAAAATACGTTCAAAAAGTAGCAAATATTCCATGCAGAAAGTAAACAAAATCAAATCTTCTTCTCATCCCTTTGTTATTATGATGGAAAAGTTGAAAGCGCTCCTACTAATAAGGCTGGTGGCTTGGCCCCATCTCCAATGGAAGAAAAGGCAAAACTCTATCATATCAGTCGTGACATGGAACCCATAATTTTGCCACTACCTTTGGATATTGCCTTGGCTTCGCATGCATTTGGGAAGATATAACCTAAGATTACAATCAAGTTTTCTGATATATGCTTATCATATCATGACTAATTCTCTTTCTTGCACCACTTAAATTCATGTTGCTTCTTTCTCCCATCTTTTTTTTCTTTGGATTAATTATGTATTTAGTATCTGAATTATATTCGAATATTCGATTAGATATTTCAACTTTGCTTCCTTACATAGTGTAGTGCCTTTTATATTTAAGAAGTAAAATAAAGGGCTTAAAAAATAGAAGTCAAGAAGAAACCCAACCAGCATGCAAGGCAAGCAAAGTACAAATATATGAAAACAAACTAATTAAGATCAAACCATATTGATTTATAGTAACATGGAATATGACTCATCCATCACAACAAATACCCAATCAAGTAAACAAAAAGAACATGAAAATTTTTTTATGAAAAAATTCTACAATTTTTTTTATTTAGAAAATGAAAATTTTAAACTTTACTCTTTATACAAAAGATCATACATAACTTGATAGATGTATATGCTCAATTTCACAACTTTCATTAACAACCATTTAATATTACAACCATCAACTCTTTTCGATCTCTCTCAGAAACTCATATTCTCAAAACTCATTATATCCGAGAGCTCAATCTCTTTCACATTCTCTTAAATTATCTTTCAACTGAATTTCAACGGTAAGCATAACCACATATTTATAAGCACTCACAAAAAATCCTAAGCTAAATAATGTACCATGTAAAAAGATTAATTATAAAATAAATTATTGACCAAGTTAACTTTAAACAACCATAACTAAAATTTGAGTCAATAATCCCAAGACCTTGAACCTCCTCCACGCTTGTCATTCTTCTCATAATCCTCTTGGAAGTTTGTACGAGAGAGTACTATTTGGGTTGCTAGCTAGAGCAAATATGAAAGCGAAAGAAAGTTTTTTGTTTTTTGTGATTTACATATTATAAAACTTCAATGCATTGCTCTACATATTAATAATAAAGTAGCTAGAGAGCTAAGACTCGAGGAAAGAAAATTTTCCTTTTTAAAATCAAAAAAAAAAAGTGTACGTACTTTTTATTGAGACACAAAAATAGAAAGGAAAGGGGAAAAGAATAGAGATAGGTGAAAACAGGCTTCTTGGCTTTTAAAAGCACAAAGTACAATCCTACCTATCGCGTTTTAAGGTAATCTCCCCTTATGTAAATCATCATTGTAATAATAATCCCTTCAACTTATTAATTTACCTTATCAACTTTTGTGTATCATTAACCTAACCCACTGTTATTTCTACTTCTAATCATTCTTCGTATCATTCAATTATGACTTTCTTATTATCATATCACTAAAGTATGTTTCGGTACATGGCATTTACAGTTAAACATTTAGATTAACGATAAGAGCATGTATAGGTTATCTTCATAAATCATACTATTCTCTAAAGATTGATTTGGAATCCCCGTCCGGCCTTCCCCTAATACAATCCCTATACCCAATCTACTTTTGTTAACCTCTTTTATGTAAGGGTTTCTTTTATAGGTGAATAAAATGTAATTTGGCCTGCTCATCAACAGGTTTGTTGGTGGATGGTGATGATACCAAAACACATTGGATGGTGTGGAAACAACAGCCTTTGATGATTTCTAATGTTTTTTTTTTTTTTTTTGAAAGGCAAAATTGATCATTTCTACTGCATGATGATAATCATAGCAAATCGTCACCATTATAAATATGGCAATTTGCAATCAAATTATTATTACAAAATATAAAATGCGTAGGCTCCTCAAGTCCAGATAATACCCATAAAACACAGAAGGCCCACGGAGCACTAAGTCACCAACATTAACCTAAAGTGGAAGATGACAACCACCACTTTAATAAAGGCAAGGTTGGGCTATTACCCTTAAAAAAAAGAAAAAGAAAAACTTAAAACATTCAAAAAAACTGATTAGACATAGGGCATACGTCTAAGAGGCTGATCTTCCCCTCGGCTAACACATTGGCCCCGTCTCATGTCATGAGTTTGTTACCTCTCTTTTTAAAACCCTAAACATCAAAGAAAAGGTCCCCCCCAATCCCCACCCCAATTGGTGGGTTTGGTGGGCCATCTCCACCACGTGAACTCATTGGTGCCATGGCATGTTCCATACAACTAGGGCCCACCTATCAGCCACTGGTTCTCATGATTCTCCCTTCACACCATGATTTTCAAAGCATCCTTCCAACATCACACATGCTCTGCCACCACACTGGATCATGATGCACTCCCCTCCTTCCTAAGCCTTTTTTTTTTTTAGAGCCCTGAGTTCATCCAATCTCCACCCTCCAAATTTTTGTCCAATCACGTCCCTTTGACGTGCATGTGCACCAAACGTACCTGTTGTCCCCTCAATATAAATGCCATGAAGAGAGCAACAATGCGCTTTGCTATTACTAAAGCTAATACCAAGGTTTTCGGTTTTAAGTCATGGAGAAGAGCAAGTCATTCCCGGAATACTCTTCATCATTTTCGGGCGAATTCGACTTCGAAAACCGATCAAATTCGTATAACTTCAACGGGCCATGCAGCAAAAGCAACGGATTCGCAGCATCAAATGATCCGGAGCTTAAGAGGAAGAAGAGAATCGCCTCGTACAACGTGTTCACAATGGAAGGTAAGCTAAAGTCAAGTGTTAGGAGCAGCGTCAAGTGGATCAAGAGCAAGTTTAGCGATGTTCGTTATGGTATGTGAGTTGTAAAAAGTAAAAAATGGTGTCCACTTCTTCTTTCTTGAACAAGTTTAGTTCCCATTGTATACAGTTTTAGTTTGTGTCATGGCCTTTTTTTTTTGGTTTGGAAATTAGAGGGAAGAATTTTCTCCCTTGCAAAAAGAAGAAATAGAAACCCAATGAAATTGGGTTATGTGGAGTCTACTCTTGCACGCCAAATAATATGCGAGTTTGGTCGTTTGGGCTGTAATATGTTTTGGTGAAAAATGCATAAGTTTAATTTTCATTCTCTATCCTTAATCTTCCATTAGATTGTTTTCTTGTGATGTTCTCTAGGCCAGATAGGATGGAATTTGGATGCTAAAGGAAAAGGGACATAAGAAAGAAGTAGAAACTTTCCATTTCTCTACCACTTTGAACTACCATGATTCCAATCAAGTATACTTTTGCTGTGATCATCAGTATTTTCAAGAACCAAAATGATATATATATTTAAGACCTGCCTAGGCAAAGGATTGGCCAGGAACAGGACTTGCCATATAACCTAAAAATCTAACATATGACTCTTAATTTTTGATCATTTGGTTTGATGTTTGAGGGGGCTAATGGAGCCTCGTCATGTATCCCAGCTTTGTATCTGTAAGAAGTTAATCATATAGGTATAGAAATTATGTGCAATCCAATTCCAAGTACACATACAAAGGCATTTGTCTCACATGAAATCATTTCTTTCTACCCCTATGTTTTCCTTCTTTAGCCAAATGTTGATTGAAAAATTAGCAATAAAATTTTCCATTTGTATAAGCAACCAGAAGAAACGACAACGTTAGATATATTGACTATGGATTCCCAAACAAATGCTCATCCAAGATTTCAAACCATATATTTTATGTGACTCAGATATAATTTGATCGATAGTCACACCTTATATATTGTCATATTCAAAGCTCTCCTACCCTAACTAACTATATATACCATAGTTCATTTAAAATACTACACATATTTATGCGGGCCAGCCCCAGCTAGCTCACATAATAAACAAGTGTGTTGATGTAGAACTGTGGTGCTGGTGGCTACAATGACTCCCCTGGGCAATTGTGTGGCCCAAGCTAAAGAGGGCCACAAAGGCACTAAAGTCGAAGGAGTGGGCAATAATATTATTGAAGTGGACATGCAATAAAAGAAAGACAGCAAACATGAAGAAAACAGGGTTGGGTGTTTGTGATATAGATGGCAATTGGCAAGGTGAGGAACCATGTATGATGTATTTGAAACTAATGATTGAAAATGACAACCAACCCTCGATCACTCACCACGCCTATTCGTACGCGGATGCTAATATTTCCATCAATTATTAAGGTTTTTAAAGATGTTTTTGTCTTTGTATTTTTTATTATTCAGTCGGTTGATAAAAGGGAACCGAACCAAAGATTTTACTGCCAAAACAATACAAAAACATAATTGAATCAAGGATTTGATCTACCCCATATGTTTTTTATCCATTGTTGTTGTCCTGGTCCCTTGCATGATCAAGGTTTTAATATTGTGCAGGCCATTCTATCCTCTTTTTTTTTTTATCTTTTGTTATTTAATAGATTTCAGTTTACTTTATATATTGATCTCATGTATCGTTCAATTCTTTCTTTCTATTCTCTATATCAAATGCTAGAATTACCTATATTGATCTTATTTAAGAAGTGGCCTTGAGTTCGTGGATGAGGCATACTTTAATTAGCAATCTACACCCTTCCTTCAAAGGAATGAGGGTTCTAGTTCAAATATTGGATCCAATACTCATAATTAAGATTCTGATGTAGCAGAACAGACTGATTCAAAAGTGTTCTAGCAAGCCAATTCTGACCTATTTGATCAAGGTAAATGGTTAAGAGAATAGAACATAGAGAGCGGGGGATGTTTTCGCATTCATTTTCGTGAATCAATGATGTCCCCGTGCTTAGTTCGGGTTTATCTTGCCTCTTTTGTACCCCAAACAAAAAACAAAACAATCAATCATGTGCATCTCTAAGGATATAAATGAATCATGTACATCATTAGAGTCTAGTGAACAGTGACAAAGGGTTGAGATAATGCTACACATGAAGCTCTAAAACAAATTTTGTACTTAATACCTTGTCAGAAATCTTACAGGATATATAAGAAATTAACAAAAGTACATTTTGTTTTCCTGCTATTTCCTCAAATAGGCCTAGCAACAAAACCGGTATTGTACCAGATACAAACATATCATGAACTGTGATTAGCAGGCTAATTAGGCAATCCTCAGGGTATGAGACACTTACTAATCACGTATCACATCAAAAAATATGCATCAATAGATATATTTATTTACTTGAAGACCAGTTTAGGGAGGGAAAAAATTTTATCAAATTAAAACCTTTAGGAGATGGTTCAAGTTCCTCAAAATCTCAAAATCTCAGCATCAATTAGTCATTTCACGTGGCCTAATCATCAATCACATATTCTAAATGCTTCTTTTGATTCAAAGTTCTGAACTCCCTTGTGGATGCAGACCTACCAACTTGATTCAATCTGTACATATTACCGTTGTCCTTCTGAGAGTTTGCAGCTCGTGTTTGGGAGCTGGGTAGTGGAGGCCGGTTTCGAATGTTCCTACTTGCGCTAGAATGAACATGGGTGTTTGGGGATATCTTCTGGCCAGAAGAAGCAACTGGAGAGCAAAAGGGAAGCGCTCTCCACCTGGGTGGGCTTTGAACCTGATGAGGTGCTCGTGGTACTGCTGCTAGGTTCTTGGACTTGCACATTTGGCTCAGCAGTCTTCTCAGTGTCCTGAAACAACACAAGTTGATATACTATTAAAAAGCATTAAATTAATAATAGTACTCAATAACATTGTGGGACAAGAACTAGTACCAACATTAAAACTAGGAAGTTAAGTGTATGTTATTTAATAAGCTCGTTTTCTTGTTTAATTGAAATGGTTGGTTATATCTGAAATTTCCCTTGATACGGATACTGACAGATCTGGAAGTGCAACATCAGCAAGAAATCATAAGTGCATCTCTTTGCTTTTTCTCTTTACCAGTTTTCGAAGTTTTGAGGACAGAAAACAGGGGAATTTGCTGATCTTTGTGCTCAATATTTCTAGGGCAAATTCCTTACCTCCCTTGGAAACATGGTTTCTTCCTTTTGTTCAGCCACCTCATCTTGTTTCCTGCGTTCACGAAGCGTTTGAGACCGTTGTTTCATTTTCGGATTTCTGTACCTGTAAAAATGAGATAAGTAATTAGGTAGTTCAAAACCTAGATATTCTGGCATCTGCTACCTATCTGCAACATAGAAGGTACATACACTTGCATTCAGATTGAATAACTAATCGTTACTTATTGCCATTACCAAATGAAAAAGACATTTTCCACATTGTATGCATCCAATGCCAAGTTGTGATTATCCGAAACAAATTGTAATCAGAAATTTTTTGTGTTGCATGATTAGCCTAATGGTTACATGATTGCAGCAACAAATGAATTTTTCATATTCATCATCCCATTTATCTGTAATTAGTTGGTAACATATGTCAAGGAAAGTGTGCGTAGGCACAGTTACTTGTGTACTTACAAAACATAGAATCTTGATTTCGTTGTGACAAGAAAGAAACAGAAAACAAATCCTAGGGCAAACTTGCAGGCATTTGTAATTTGATACAAAAAGCCGCTGTGAAGGATTAGGAAACACTCTTGAATTTGGAAAATCATTTGCTAAAATGAAAAAAATTAAAAACTTATCATATGTTCTTCAGCATTCTGCAAATCCACCTGACCACAACACCCCCCCCCCCCAGTCTTTCAATCCCTACCTTTTTCATAGGCAAAGGCTTGAACTTTAAAGGGTAAAATGTAACATGCATGTTCAGAAAGAAACATCCATTCATATCTTTGAATACAAAAAGTCATGAAAACTTGATGCATGTGGTATAAATGAAGATGATGCTCAACTATTTCACCTCTCTCTGATTCACTAGATTTACAAACAAACTTGTCTAATACCAAGTCATGCACCTTGACAGACTCTTAAATTAAGTCAATGTGAAATAGCATAGAATCATGAACAAATTGACGTGGAAAGATATTTATATTCAGTTAGCCACTTACCACACTAATTATCAATTTTTCTTAAGGCGGAAAAATCGAAGCATGATTTAATAAAAAGAATTCACAATTAATCTGGGAAAGGAAAACTTACTTTCTCTGTTCATCAGCTTCATCATCCTTATTGTAAATAACAGGAAGACCTGAAAGGTCGCATGCTAATGGACTTGTGTAAAAAAACTGAAAATAGAAAGTATTTCTTAGCTCAAGATTCGGAATAAGGTTTGCATGTAATCTTATAATTGCAACATGAGCTCAAGAGCTACTATACAATCATACCATAGATATAGGACCATTTAGGGTTAGATTACACATGTGAGAGTACAACTTTCAACTGATAAAATGGTATAAATTTAAAAAAAAAAAATGTTGCAGAACCAATTAGACATGAGATAATGTAAGGGAAAATGCCTCACAACGGGTGTAAAAAATATCCAACTGTCAAAGTGGAAAAAAAAGGGGAAATATCTTTCTTTGACAAATGCAAAGTTTTCTGTGTGAATTGTCGTTCTCCCAATGCAATTGCTGGTAGAAAATACATGTTCAGTAAGGGTAAAGCACAGGTTAGTGTAATAATTTAAAAGCTTTGTTTTAGGACGCACACATCATTGTCTCCTTACCAGTGCAAATTGTGGGGGTAAGTAAGACATCAGAATTATGTCGAATTGTTAAAGTTGGGTTAAATAAGGTAAATAATTACCTCTAGAAATTTTTCAATAGGCAAATGTATCATATAAAAGGTGCCGCAAAAATAATGATCATTATTTCTAATGTAAAATTGGAAGCTTCTGCATACTGCAGACTGATTACAGAAGTACTCTTAAACACTGCACACCAACTAAAGAATTTCTGATTGAAAATAACAGAGCCTACTATGCATCTAGAAAAACAAGATAAATAAAGATTCAACCAAAAGGCCTTCCTTTTTCTTCTTCTTCCATGCAAAGAAAGATAAATAGCATGACATGCGATATGCTTCCAATTCATACTTACTTCATTTTGAAGGGCTGCAGAAGCAGAGCCACGATACGCAGGATCTAAAGCAAGAAGAGTGCTCAAAAGGCCCAATGAAGATTGGGGGAAGTTCCTGAAAGCATCTACTAGGCTAGGTTTGTATGACTGAGGAGGTCGGAAAGTTGTAGACAGCCTTAACTTTTTCCAATATT